GAACAAGATTTTTGGACAATGCAATTGTTGACTTGTTGCCACAAAAAATCACCATTGCTCCACCATTATCTTGCTTCAAGTCTCCCATAATTCTTCTTAGCTAAACAGCTTGACATGATGTAGTTGTTGCAGCTGTATACTGTGTTACTGTGCTTGAAAGAGCAACACTATGTTGTTTTTTTTAGGACCATGAAACAATACCTGATCCTAAACTAATCATATAACCTGTAGTACTTTTTCTATCGTCTGTACAAGAAGCCCAATCACTGTCAATAAAAGCAATGAGTTTATTTGAGTTGCTTCTTAAATAGCTGATGCCAAAATATAAAGTTCCTTGAACATAACGAAGAATTCTCTTAGCTGCTCCCAAATGAAGCTTGCTTGGACTGTGCATGAACCTGGAAATAAGACTTACAGCAAATGTAATATTGGGCCTTGTATTAGTGAGATACATGAGACTTCCCACAACACTTCTAAAATTCTTCTCATCAACCTTCTTAGCTCCATCACTTAAAGTGAACTTCTCATTTGCATTTAGTGGAGTCTTTGTCGTCTTGCAATTTTCCATTCCAAATTTTTTCATTAAGTCATTAGCATATTTTTTCTAACAGATGAAAATACCATGTGAATCTTGCACCACTTCAATTCCCAAAAAATAATGCAAGGAACCCAAGTCAGACATATCAAAGTTTTGCATCATGGACTTCTTAAATGCTTCCACCATTTGTAATGAACTTCCAGTATAAACCATCTCATTAACGTATAAGCACACAGCCAAGAAATCAACATTATAACTTTTAACATAGAGGTTAGGCTTATTGGCACTTTTTTGTAAAATTGTTCTTAGCAAAATATGAGTCAATTTTGCTATACTAGGCCCGTGGAGCTTGTTTGAGCCCGTAGAGCGCCTTATGTAATTTGTATACATTCTGTTCTGGATCTTTTAACACAAATCGTTGGGGTTGTTCAGTGTATACATCTTCCACCAAATCACCATTAAGAAAAGCAGATTTTATATCCAGTTGATAACCAATCCATCCTTTATTGGCTGCCAACGCCAAAAGTGTTATAATTGTATCAAAATGAACAACTGGAGCAAAAATTTTGGTGAAATCAATACCTGCAACTTGAGCATATCCCTTAGCCACCAACCGTGCTTTGTACCTTTGCAACGAACTATCCGAGTTAAGTTTAGACTTGTAAAACCATTTTAGGCTGATAGCTTCCTTTCCTTCTAGGAAATCCATCAAGGTTCGTGTCTTGTTCTTCTCAATTTTTTTAATCTCTTCATTCATTGCAATATGCCATTCTTCTTTCTTTATTGTATCTTCAAAACTAGGCTCCGTGGTAATAGAAGCATAGTCACATGACTCATAAATTTCAGCAAGACTTCTTATTCTTCTTGGTGTTGATTCTGGGGATGATAAAGGAGATTCTTGTAGGTTATTTGATTCTGAGTTAGCTACATCCACTACATGTGTAGGCTGAAAAGGAACATCTTCCCAAATCCAAGCATTATTTTCATTGAAAATTACATCACAGCTTGTAATTAACATTTCTGAAATAGGATCATAAAGCCTATAGCCTTTAATTTCTTTACTATATCCCACAAAAATACATTTGATGCTTTTGTCATCCAATTTCCTTCTCAATTCAGTAGGCACAAAAGCATAGGCAGCACAGACAAATGTCTTTAAGTGACTTACAATAGGTTTGTATTCATACCGAGCTTCATAAGGAATCATTTCTTCAACCGTTTGAGTTGGAAATCTATTGACTAGGTATGCTGCAACTCTGATAGCTTTTGCCCAGAATTTGTTAGGGAGGTTTTTTTCTTTCAACATACTTCTAGTAGCTTCAACTATGATTCTATTTTTTTGCTCGGCGACTCCATTTTTCTGTGGAGTATAGCTTGCTGTAAGTTGCCTTTGGATGCCAGTATAGCTGCAAAAATTATCAAATTCTATGGAAGTGAACTCGCCTCACGATCGGTGTGTAGTGTCAATAAAGGTTCCTTTTCAACCATTGTTTTGAATTGTTTGAAACATTCAAAAACTTCTGACTTCTCTTTGAAAAAATACACCCATGTCATTCTTGAGAAATCATAAACAAAAATCAGGAAGAACTTACTTCCACTCAAAGAGAGTGTTTGCATTGGCCCACAAACAACTACATGCACCAACATCAACGGCTTTGGAGCTCTCCACAATTTTCCTCTGGGAAATGTCTTTAAAGAATGCTTTCCAAAAATATAGGCTTCACAATTTTGCCTTTCATCTCTAATCATGGAAAGACCCTTCACCATATTCTTTTTGCATAACAAGGTTAGTTCTCTAAAGTTAAGGTGACCAAATCTTTGATGCCAAAGAAAAGAATCATTAGTAGCTGTAGCAAAGGCATTGATAGGAACTTCTAAAAACATAGTAGGAAACATCTTATCTTCTCCCATTTTAGCTGAATAGATTAGTTGCATGCTCGTTTTATCAAATATCAAGCATTCATCAGCATCAAACACAACATAATAGCCCTTTTCCAGTAACTGACCAACACTAATCAAGTTATGAGGTAATCAATGTACATACATAACATCATGCAACAGTTTCTTTCCAAACTTTGACATCACAGCAATTGTACCCATTCCACATACCTGAATTTGATTGTTGTTGCCCATCCTAACTTTTGTCTTTATGGATTCATCAATCTCCACAAAGAATTGTTTGTTGCTAGTCAAGATACCAAAAATTCTCATACTTATCACCATGAGCAGATATGTCAGCAAGAAACAAATTTTCATCAGAACCTTTTTTTTGTCTTCCTGGGAATTGGTATTGTTTGTAGTCTTTAGAAAACAATTTTTCTTAATATGACCATATTCTTTGCAATAATAGCATTTGGGAGGAATTTTCGTTTGGCAATACTTCTCTTTATACCAACAGTTTTTATCCTCATGGTTTGATCTTCCACAATATGAGCAAGAATTGGAATTGTTACCTCCATTTGAGTTCCTTTGTTGACAATTACTCCTGCCTCTACCTCTGCCTCTTCCTCTTCCACGAGATGATCTCCCACAAGCTCGACTAGAGTTCCATCAACTTCACTCATCTAATTTCTTCTTCAAATCAAGTTTTGATTGAAAGGCTTGCTGAATAGGGGTCTCTACCATTCTATTAATGTGCTGCTCATGTGTTTGAAGTGACCCCATTAATTCATTCAGAGAATAATTGGATAGATCCTTTGATTCTTCTATTGCAGCAACAACATGGTCAAATTTGGGAGGAAGGCATCGTAAAACTCTCTGAACAACCTTTTGGTCTATCAATTCTTCTCCGAGAGATTTAATCTGATTCACCACTGAGTAAACTCTTGAAAAGAATTCTTGAACTGATTCTGATGGCTTCATCTGCAAATTCTTGAATTCACGATGCATGGTTTACAACTTCACAGTAACCACTTTGTTTAATCCTTGATACTCCTTTTCAAGTAAGTCCCATGCTTCTTTCTATGTTGTGGCAACCATAACTCATGGAAAAATGGCATTATCTAGTGCTTGCTGAATTAAGACTAGAGGTTTAGCATCCTTCTTTTACTTTTCTTTCAACTCATTACGTTGAGCAGCAGTTAGCCTCTCTACATCTGCAAGATCATCAAAATCATTGTCAACCAGGTCCCATAAATCGTAGGATAAAAATAGAGTCCTCATCTTGATATGCCAAAACTGGTAGTTAATTCCAGTAAAGACGGGGATATTGTGAGATAAGTTTGGTGTGACACTAGTAGAAATCATTTACAAGTGGATGTGTTTGATCACTCACAACTTTAATTCTCTGAACCTACTTTGATACCAGATTTGATAGTGTAGAAATCTCAGTAAAAAGAATACAAGAAAATATTATGAAGAGAATTCTTTATTGACTGAAATTCTGCCTCTGTTTCAAGACTCCAAGTGTTTAAATAGGCATTCAACACTTCGCAGTTAAAAAAACGTGGCCACTGCTCCATAATATTTCTACCAAACTTATTGAGACATAACAACAAATACTTAGTGCGCATGAACTGTATAGAACAGATTATCCTCAAATCTAGAACATAAAGACTCAACTTATTTCCTAAATAATAGCAACAAAAAAATAACAAGTCAAAACGAAACCCCGAATTTGAATTAATTCCCAACATAAGGTCCGTGAAGCTGAGGGGATCTTTTGCTCCTTTAATCCAAATTTTCATTATACCGAAATTCAGATTATTTCTTATAAGTTAATGTCCTTGTTTCCTTGCTTTAATAGTCGCTTCTTATCACTTTTTTTTTTGAAAAAAATAATTTGTGTGTTTCCTTTACAGTGCAAATTGACTTGGGCGCGAAGGATCCAAGTGCTTTAAAAGGGTACCTTTGCAGGTGGTTGAGGCTTAGTCTAATTGACCCTGTTATAGACCTCTGCCATTGGACTTTAAGGCCTTTATTGTAAAATATGCATCTTCTTCTTCTCTAGGTGTAGTTAGGGGTCCTAAAATAGGAAATCCCATCCTCAATCTGTGTCTATTCTTAATTCTAAAGGATCCTATTCACCTAGGAGTCCTATCCCACGTTTTAGGTCTTTATTTCTTCCTTGCCACAAGGATACATTAGAAATGTTTTGTCAATGTTTTTACTTTATATTCCATAAAGTGGAGGTTTTTTTTTTTCCCTATTTCAAATTGCCTTGGGAGGAGCTGTTGGAAGAACTTATCCCTACTGAGAGGGAAAAATGATTAACGCTCATCTTCAATGTGCTATAGTCCTATCTCAAGATCAATAGGCTGATTATGAAGCTTGCACCTCCAAGGTGGATTGTTTCGGGAAGAAGTTAGTTCATTAATGAAGAAGTGTAACTCTCTTCAAAGAAAGTCGAAGAAGGTTAAGAGAGAGAGGAATAGGTATAAGGAGATGAGTGAGGGTGTTAAAGCTTTTGCAGTAAATGAAGCTTCCTTAATGGATGATGCCAAGAAAATTTCTTCAGAATTAAATTTGGTGAATGAGAAGCGCGCAACCTGCATTTCAACGACTAAGTGTGATGCTTCGCATCTTAAAAAAGAGTTCCAAATGACCAAGTATAAGCCTAAAGCTGCCTTTGAGGAACTAATTAATATAGGGAATGAGATTACACCTCTTCGTGACAAACTGAGAAATAATGAGACGGAATTGCCTATTGCGAAGTCTAACCATCTTGGAGCCACTGTTCACAAAGCGATGTTAGCTAAGGGTGCTATGCCGGTTGGGGAAAACAAACTGCTTGGAATTATTAGAAGCTTTCACCCCGAATGAAATCTAGACATTTTTGAAAGCTCATGAAGACTATGTGCGCTTGCGTTGTTTTTCATTTGTTACTTTAGGCAAGCTTCACGTAGATGCATTTTATCAACATCAAAATATATCGTTCATATGCTGGTTTCTCATTTCAACTATGTGGATTTTTAAATGAAACTTTATTAAATCGTATAGTAACATTAGGATGGTATAGATTATTATTCATTCTCCAGCCATAAGTTTTTATTTGTGTATGCTTCGTGTGCTATTACAATGATATCATGATA